CCTTCTCCGCCCAGATGGCAAACCTCCAAGGACACAGGTCCCAACAGAGCCAGGAACACTTTTAGCAAATATCTCTGAGGGTCAGCTTGGGGTCATGTTGGAGCCCATGAGCCATCATTCATTTGCCAGTTCCCAAGTGCCTGCTTACGGGAGCACTGCTTTGCACATCCCACTGCCGTGGACATGTTCAACCCAGCTGCAAGTTTGTTTTGGAAATTACGGTAACATCGAAGACCAGGCTGCTCCTCGAAATGCCTAATCTGAGACAAAAGTCCACTATTCTGAGCTATAAGTCCTGCTCTCAAAAAGCTTATGTTCTAATTGGGGCAAGAAGACAGTAGAGCGCAGGAGTGGAGTGAGGTGATTGAGAGCAGAGGCCCCCAAAGCAGCTGCCTGAGTTCGAGTCCTGCCTCCATCACTTGTTAGCTAGGTGAGGGCGAGTGAACTACCTAAGCCCTCTGTGCTTCAGTGTTCTTGTCTGCAAAATGGGAATGACAATGAGATAAACAGTGCTACCATCCCCATCTCACAGAGGAGGAAACCAAGGCTCAGAAATAAGGCTCACCTGGCTCAAGGCCACACAGAAAATCAATAGAGCCCAAGCAGAATGGACATCATTGTCTTTGCTCCCCCCCACTCCCCTCCCCCTGGGCTTCTCCTATCTTTCCTTCTAGAGCTCTCCCAAGTGTCTCTTCTCCCGTAAAATGGCATCTGACACCCAGTTCATTTCCACCTCTAAACACTTCAGCCTGGATGGGACTGGAAGGTGAGGAGGCCCAAACTCTGGTGACCAAGGTGAGAGGGCCTTCTCATTTTTAGAAATAAAGGACCAGAAGGCTAGGACACAGGACGGATGTCCAGGACTCCAGCCGCAATGCTCCCCACCCTCCTTCCACTCAGGTGTACAGGGAATTCCCTATGTTCTCCTTCCCTGCTCTCCTCTCCCTCCTCTCCTTGCTTCCCCCTCTCGCTTTCGCAGAGCCCTGGGTCAGAGCCCCAGGGAGGAGCAACCACCGAAAACCCATCAGGGGATGACTGGAATTTGCTGAGTGACGGAAAGATTTCAACTCGTCCACTGAAACCTGCCCCACCACACCCTAAGGTATTTGGGGCCTTACTTACCTCCATATCTATTACAAGAGGCTTAGCCTTGTTAAGAGAATAAATAAAATATATACAGTTTCCTTTTTTAAGATTTTATTTAATTATTTGACAGAGAGAGAGTACAAGCAGGGGGAGTGGCAGGGGGAGAGGAAAAAGAAGACTCACCGCTGAGCAGGGAGCCCGATGCGGGACTTAATCCCAGGACCCCGGGATCATGACCTGAGCCCAAGGCAGACGCGTAACCGACTGAAACACCCCAGCATCCCCATGTCTACAGTTTATTACTAAGGTATACATAGGGTCTCATTTAACTCTCCCAGCAATAGTCTACAGCAGGCAGTATCATCCCCCTTTCACAGAAGGGGAAACTGAGGGTCCAAGACAAAGTGATAGAACCCACATTTGAATTCAAGCCTGCTCACAGCTCTTCCCTCCATGCAACCGAGTCTTGCGCTTTAGGGCTGGCACTAGGGTAAGGCAAGCGAGGATCCTTGAGCCAAAACACAAGAAGGCACGTGCTCTCGGGCACCAACGTCTACTTACACAACCCTGAGAAAAAGCAACCTTCGGATACCCTCCAAAGAATTATAGGGACTGCGGGATCCCTGTGTCCAAGCCACTGCCAAGGTGCAGAGAAGAAACCACAGAGGAGCCAGCATCCAAGGGAACCTTCCAGTGTTGCCTCCTCTCACAGAACACACACCAACAGTACGCCGGACACATCCTCTGACATACCCACACGCAGCAATCCTGCCCAGTACACGATTACCAAGAGAGAACAACCCAGCGCACCTACATCCGCATCGACACAACTCAAAATGCCTGCACATGCATATAATACAATTCCTGCCCTCACTCCAAAACGGGGGAGGGAGACAGAAGATCTGAGTAAAACCCTGGAAAAACTTCCTTCACAAGCTTTTTATGAACCCGCAGCCACCAATCAAAGTCTTGATTAACTTGGTTGTATTTATTAGATTGTGTTCAATATTTAATAACTTTGAATATGGATGGAATATTTCATGAGATTGGTAGAGACCTATTTATGTATAACCGTCAGAAGGGCCAATTGCTTTGAACTGGGAATTGAATGGAACTCGAATTCTCAGAAGCCAGAGCTGGAAATCTCTCCATTGTACATTTTCATGGATTTATTTAAATTATAGGTTATCATCATGACATTATTACGCTATTATTTGTTATGATGCTCTACTTTTATAACCTATTATTACACAGTCCCAGGAAATGTGGCGTTGAGACATTGAATTTCCTTGCGTCCAGGCGAATTTGAATTGGGTTTGTTCTCTTTCCTTCATGTTTACCAGGAAAAGGGACCAAATGTGATGTTGTGAAATGTATCACGTCTTAAGCCCTTAGTCCTCCCACAGGCACAAGATGATCTGGAAGCAATTTATGGGGTATACATTGTCCAAGACCAATTTGTCCAAGAGAAGGAACTCAGCAGACTGCAGACAAGCAACATGAATTTCTGAATCTTTTTTACAGAAATGAGAGAATCAGATGCAAAACAAAGCTTCCAGAGGCATCATGGAGGTTCCTGAAAGTCCTTGGAGGATTGGAGATTCTGGAAGTTAAAAAATGAACTCAGCATATCCACGTATGCAGATTTTATGTAAGTTACCGTTATTATTAATGGTGCTATCTAGGTAAGAGGTAATTATAAAATGTGATTTGTTAGGGGCCAAAGTTAAATCATTGGAAATGGTCCTTATGCCACAGCAGTCTGCAGCCCAGCAGGATGTAAACTGCTTACTCACAAAAGAGAGAAAATGCATCCTCCATCAAATACCTCATTTTCCTGACACACCTTTGTCATATTCTGATTTGCTTTGATTTGGGGTCCAAAGCACATGTAAATGAATGCTGTCAAAAGAATAGTAATGATAATAAAACCATTAGGTGGAGAGTAAGCCTCTGACTCAAATCTGTGTAATCATACTTCTTGGATACTATTTTCATTGTATTTGCAGCAGATAATGGGGGAAAGTATACCTCTAAACACTTCCCCCTCTCCTCACCTTCAACAGTCGGCCAACCCTTACATCCTACCTGATAGCCATGCCAGTTTATCTGAACGTCCTGAATTTGACATAGTGTTCTGCCCTCCCCCTACCCCCGGCCCCCATCTTTATTTCTGCTGTTCTCAGACCCTGAACGCCCTTCCCATCCTTTTTCAAGCTTGGCAAACTCCAGTCTTGTCCTTTAAAACTCTGCTCATTGACAAGGCCTTTCTTGGCCCCTCTACCCTATCTGTTTACCTACGTCGATTAGCACTCTTCCCACGGTCATATGATTATTGGTTCATAGGTCTACCTGCCCCCACTGGACAGTGAATTCCATAGAGGCATTTCAATATCTCCAAGGTTTCAGATGGTGCCTGACCTAATGTTGGAGGGGTGGAGGGTTGGACTTGGACATAAAGGCACATGGGTTTTGCTTTTGGCTATTTATCCTCTGACTAGAGTGGAGCAAGGTGTTGGTGTAGGAGCCATCTTACTTTCCAGAAAGCTCATAATGTTCTGCATTCATAGACTCAAATCAAAACTCAAAGGGATTGGTTACTCCTTTGCTTTACAGATAAAGTCATCATCCTCATGTTTTCATTCAACCAGCATTTATAAACTTCTTACCAGGTGCCAGGCTCTCCCTGCCCTGAGATACAACCCAAATTACGAAGTCAACCCAAGGGGACTGCTGGGAGTGCACAGGGTTTGGGGGCAGCCTCTTTTCTCCAGCACTGCTGGCCATTCCCTCCAGTGACCGAGAGACTTTGGGGGAAGCAGAAGAATCTCCACCTCAGGAAGCTGTCTGGGACTCCTGCCCAGTGGTAGCTTGATTTGGCAAATCCATAGCTTTTTTTTTTTTTTAAGATTTTATTTTTTATTTATTTGAGAGAGAGAGAGAGCGCACAATGGGGGGGGAGGGGCAAAGGGAGAGGGAGGACGCAGGGTTCGATCCCAGAACCTTGGGATCATGACCTGAGCCAAAGGCAGATACTCAACTGACTGAGCCATCCAGGCACCCCAAATCCTTAGCTTTTTAATACACGCCTCAAATCCTTTGTGGAAGTAGGTAGGGTATCAACTCAATTCTCCCATAAAACAAACTGCCACCCTGCCCTTCAGCTTCCTCTGCCCCCACTTCCTGCTCTGCTCTTCGTCCGCCAGCAATGCTGAAAGCTTGCAGGCCCTGTGTCTATTAGACAACAAGCTACATGACGAAGGGACTTTGGTCTGCTGCCACACATCTAGCTCCTAGGACAACATCTGGAACACAGTAGGCCATCAAGAATGTTTCTTAGATGAATTAGTGAATGACATGTCATCTCTTTGTCTTTGCTAATGATGTCTCCTCTGTTTGGAATGCCCTTCCACCTTTTGTCAACCCAACTCTTACTCATCCAGTGAGAGAGCTCAGGCATATTGTCCCGTAGCAAGTTTTCCTTGAGGCCCCTGAGCTGCACCAAATTCCCTTCCTCTGGGTTTCCTGAAACCCTGTGCATAGGCCTCTCTTACCACTAACCCCAGCATGCTGCATTGATCTATTATGCATCTGCTGCCCACACTGGACATTGATATTGTGAAGACAGGAACCACACGCTATTCATCTTCATACCCTCACCTCCTTGGCAAGGTGTCTGACACACAGAAACCACTCTATAATGATTTGTCAAGTTGAGCTAAACAACCCCAAGAGGATGCAGATTGGGTCATACCAAATGTGATTGCTGATTCAGTTGGTCATTTGGCAAATGTTGATTGAGTGCCTATGATGTTCCAAGCACTGTTCTAGGTACTGGACATCCAGCACCGAGCCAGATGGACAAAAATAATGATAATGATAGTATTTGTTTTTGTTTTTGTTTTTTTTAAAGATTTTATTTATTTGACAGAGAGAGACACAGCGAGAGAGGGAACACAAGCAGGGGGAGTGGGAGAGGGAGAAGCAAGCTTCCTGCAGAGCAGGGAGCCCGATGTGGGACTCGATTCCAGGACCCTGGGATCATGACCCGAGCTGAAGGCAGACGCTTAACGACTGAGCCACCCAGGCGCCCCAATGATAGTATTTGTTAATCAGACATGATCCAGACACTTTACGAGGCTAGTTGAGTGGTGTATAGAGTCAATATGAAAACGGCTTCAAACTTCAGCTTTAACCATAGTATGATTTAAATAAGGCAAGAAATTCAGGGTCTCAATAACTCCACGGTCTCTCTTTCCCAGGCTTCAGTATCCCCACCTGTATTATGGATAAATGCTGTAATCTCCCAAGAGATGTGTTAATATATGTTTATACAGGGGCCTCTGAAATTTCTTGCACATTTTTAAATCTCAATAATTTGCCTGGAAATACTTTGCAAATAGCGTGAAGTATCCCAAGGCTTAGAAAACACTTCACAATTGCACAAAGTACAATCTAAATCCCATGATAAATAAGAAATTAGAGTCCAATCAGCTTGCAATTCAGTTGAAATTCATTGCCTTTAAAATGTCTTTTATGGATTTCTTTGATCCTACCCACCTACCTATGTTACACTGAACCAACTTTTATTGAGTCCTTCTATTATGTCAGGCACTGTAGTAGGCATGAAGGAAAACCAAGATTAATAAGATATGATCTTAACATTAAAGAGCTCCCAGTTTTGTGGGAAAGACAGAAACACACCTTACCTACTGTAACCTGTGAGACTGGGAAATGCCGTGACCCAGGTATACACAAGCAGCCATGGGAGTGCAGAGGACAAGCATATCATGTTGCTGGGGCTGGTATCAGGAAGGCTTGACCAAGTGGTGGTGCCTGAGCCACATCTGAATCCATGAGTATCGTCTGGCAAACAGTGAAAAGAAGGGAAAAGATGTGGGGCGCCTGGGTGGCTCTGTTAGTAAAGCATCTGACTCTTGATTTTGGCTCAGATCATGATCTCAGGGTTGTGAGATAGATCCCTGCACTCAGTGGGGAGTCTGCCTGAGATTCTCTCCCTCTGCCCTGCCTCCCCACTTGTGTGTGTGTGTGTGTGTGCGCGCGCGCGCGCGCGTGCACACGTATGCGCTCTCTCTCTCAAATAAATAAATCTTAAAGAAGGGGGGGAGGATGGGCTAGAAAGAGAAGGGATGTGGGCACCATGATAGGAAGTGCATGGCAACACTCAAGAAGTGTACACATCATAGGCAGCTGGAGCAAATGTAATAGAGAAAAGCTTGGAAAAGTGAGCTGGGCTCTGATGGTGAAGGATATTGACTGATAGGTTAGAATTTTATTCTGGAGATAATGGAGAATATTATCAAAGCTTAAGGGTTGTTTTGTTTTAAATATTTTTATTTATTTTATTTTATTTATTTGACAGAGAGAGACACAGCGAGAGAGGGAACACAAGCAGGGGGAGTGGGAGAGGGAGAAGCAGGCTTCCCGCTGAGCAGAGAGCCTGATGCGGGGCTCGATCCCAGGACCCTGGGATCATGACCTGAGCCGAAGGCAGACGCTTAACGACTGAGCCACCCAGGCGCCCCAAAGCTTAAGCGTTTTAAAGTTACATGATATCTTTATGTATATGTTATACATGTTATAAGGACATATGTTATAATATTCTGCCACAAGAAATGCATAAAGACCAATACTATTTGCCTCACAGGGAGTATTTACTGCATGTCAAGAGGGCTGTGTTAAGCACCTGATAAGCGCTGTCCCATTTTACCACAACAACCCCAAGCTGAGGTATCGTGATGCCCATTTTACAGATGTGGCAACGGAGGATCCAAGTGATTAAGTCTCCCAGCTAGTCCGTAGCAGACCTGGAACTTGAAAGCAGATGGATCTGACTCCAAAGCCCATGATTTTAACCTCTGGGCTGTGGCAGCAGCTTGTGGAAACAATAAACTCATGAATGAGGGGTTTACATAAAATTCTCTTTTCAGCCTTAGTATATATCAAAGGTTTTTAAATATTAGCTCTCTTTAACCCAGTAATGAGATTTCTGGGAATAAATCTTAAAGAAATCATCAGAAATTCACCCAAAGATGAATGCACAAAGATGATTATTGAAATATTACTTATACTAGAGAAAAGTTGTGAAGCAATCTAAGTGCTCAGCATTAGGAAAAGGGTTCATTATAAAATGATGGAGTACTATATGAGCATCAAAATTATGATTGCATGAGCTAGAAAATTATATATATATATATATATATATGCACAGAAAAAAAAAGAGAAAAAATGCAAAAGACACATGTCAAAATGTAATTGGTGACCTAAGTGAGGGGACCAGGCTTTTTTCCTCCTACACATTCCATATTTTCTACATTTGAGCACCTCATTCTTTTTTTTTTTAAGATTTCACTTTTTTTTTTTTTAAAGATTTTATTTATTTGCGAGAGAGAGAATGAGAGAGAGCATGAGAGGGAGGAGGGTCAGAGGGAGAAGCAGACTCCCCGCCGAGCAGGGAGCCCGATGCGGGACTCGATCCCGGGACTCCAGGATCATGACCTGAGCCGAAGGCAGTCACTTAACCAACTGAGCCACCCAGGTGCCCTTAAGATTTCACTTTTAAGTAAACTCTATGCCCAACGTGGGGCTCAAACTTACAAAACCCTGAGATCAAGAGTTACATGCTCTACTGACCAAGCCAGCCAGGTGCCCCTTGAGCCCCTCATTCTTGAGATCATGAAAAAAAACTTTTAAATCTATCCTGTGTGTTTTAAAACAGATGTCAGCTAGGTGAGCCTGGGCGGTCAGAGAAATGAGAGACGTCACAGCCAAATCACCTCCCTGCCTATTGAGCCTTGGAGGTCTTTAGTTTTAAACATTGACTGAGCTAGTGTCCCAACCAGGACGTGCAAGGGTCCGAATTCCAATCATTCCATTTACTCATAGATACTCAAATATTGAAAGTACGCAGACTCATTCATCTTACAATCAAAAGTGTAAATTGCAATGTTCTTGCAATTTGTTTAATTAACACTTCTGTTAAATACTATCATGTTTGTGCCTTAGACTGACCATGTGACATTTTCAGGGGAGGTGGGGGGGAGAAGAAAGAACAAAGCCAGAACTTTGGGGCCCAACCTGGGAAACCAACTGTCTGGTTAAGTGCTGAAACTTACTCTAAGATTGGTGGGCCCTCTCAGAGGAATTAGAGTTAAAGCTAATAACCCAATTTGGAATAATTTAAAGCTCTTTTTAGGGAAGTTTTTTACTCGATTGGGCTCATTATGCATGGGTTTAATGTGTAACAATTTGTTCTTGAAAGCTAACATTATTGTTGGCAATAAAGATAGGAAGTGGAAATAAGTTTCCAATATGTAAAGCAGATTTATTTCTCATTTCATATGGACTTGTTCCGGGTCTCTGCTTATGAATCACACCATGCTCCTGGCAATAAGATGCTGTCCATGCAGTTGGTTATGATAAATGGCCTGTAATTGTGAATCTGATATTGGTTTTCAATATTGAATTTATCATTCTGTCCTCTTAACAGATATTAAATACTTTTAAGAATTTATCCATTGGCCTGATCCGTGATTTTTCAATATGTAAAATTTATTAGTTTCCTAGTTTTTTGAGATTTTAACAGTCGACAACATCATTAATAATGCTGAGTAATGGAGCTGACCTCTTTTAAACCTCGTTCCCTTCCACTAATCCAGAACATCCAAATTGAATCAAAATGTATTCGATTTAGGGACCCGAAAAGAAAACAGCGGTGGGGGCAGGGTGCATGATCCGCAAGGCAGCTCTCCCAGGCTGGGCATCCGTTCGTTCACCTGTTCCCCTCTGAGCAGGTGCACAGAGGGAGCCCGGGCCAGGCTGCATGCGCCTTCCCCGCTACATCCTCCGCCTCCACCTCCCGTGAATGAGCCAGCTCCGTGTCCCTCTCTCCCTTAACTGCCTCAGTTTCTTCAGTGCGGGGTGATTGATGATAATAATAACGCTGCTTGTCTGGCTCCCTCTTGGAGAGCGCTTTGTGAATTAATAGAAGCGTGCGGGCTGTGCACTTGGAGAGCCCCCTCCAGGATGGCTCCACTGCTGCCCTGGACTGCTCCTCAAGCTTGGCTGGGAAGGATTCCTGCCCTTTACTGTTGGAAGGGCAGGAAGAGTGCAAAAGAAAGAAAGAAATCAGGCTGGGTGAAAGAGAAACAAGGCTGTGGGAAACACTAACAAAGCAAAACTTACCCTGTCCCCTGGTTCTGTGTGTTTAGGGCCACCCCAGCACGTTGCCCCCAGAACAGCCCTGAAACTAGTTCAAGGTTAGAGTCTAGGGCTGTGTTTTTGCTGGGTTTTGTGGTTGCTGATGTTGTAGCCTCCTGGGCTACATCTCACAGTTCCTGTAGCGTTCTCTGTGGTAAGTGGACACCTGGAGGCTTCCCAAGGTCAGGGAACAAGTTGGCCACCAGCTGCAGGGGTCCTTCATGCAGGGCCCCAAAAGGGGATGGAGCCAGGGATGTGCACACAGGTAGAAGGACAATGAGCCTCATGACAGGCCAGGGGATAGACAGAGAGCAGCCTGAAGAGGGGTCCAGCCTAGTGTCCTGGTCACACTTAGGGAACAGAGGGTCACCTTCTCAGGACCATTACAAGATGAGCAATAGCACGACTGCCTCTGACCTGTAGATAATTGAAAAATAACTGCCTTGGGGCGCCTGGATGGCTGTTGTTAAGCGACTGCCTTCGGCTCAGGTCATGATCCCAGGGCCCTGGGATGGAGCCCCGCATCGGGCTCCCTGCTCCGCGGGAAGCCTGCTTCTCCCTCTCCCACTCCCCCTGCTTGTGTTCCCTCTCTTGCTGTGTCTCTCTCTGCCAAATAAGTAAATAAAATCTTTAAAAAAAGAAAAAAAGAAAAGAAAAGAAAAGAAAAAGAACTGCCTTGCCTTCCCCAGAAGCCTAATTTCATATTCTTGCAGTAGCCCAATTGACTTTCAATCCAATGTAAATCGGCCTCCTTGGAAGTTTTGTCTATTTAAGGATTATGGGCCAAGATCAAACTATCAGAAGAAACTGGGAGATGTCAATAGGGTCAGTGAGAGGTGACAAGTTTCCAAAGGGCTCCTAAGTCAAGAAGAAACTTACTTTTTTACCAAAAGCCAGAGGGCCACCTGGTTCCAGACCTGGCCTATGAGGCCATAGCAGATCAATTGTCCCAGCTGAGACCAGAAGCCAGGTCTCCAAACTCCCTATGTGATGCTCTTTCTGCCCTCCCAGGGCATGGTTTACAAACTGCTCTAAAGGAAGCTATGTCTTCCCCAAATCCCAGGCATTTTAGGACCATCTGCAGATTCTGCATTCACTCCTTGGTCGCTGGCTACACTTCTCATATCAATGGCTAAGCATCCTTCAAAGCCATCTCTCAAACAAAAGATAATTTTAACCTGGCAAATGTTTAATTGAGTGCCTGAGTGTCTGGATGCTTTGCACTTAAACTGCTATGGAGAGGCAAAGAACATATAAAATACAGTCTCCACCCTCAGGTAGGACCAATAAAGGCACTTCACTTAATAATCAATTATTAAACATTTACTGCATGCCTGGCATGGTGCTGGATACTGCAGAGCCACAGGAAAAAGAATCATGCTTCGTCCCTTTCCAAGGAAGTTGGCTGATTAGAGAGAGAAGGTTTTAACATACAAACCCTGATGGTTTATCATGTAATGTTAAGCTCTGTGGTTGAAGCAATATGCACAAAATGGTTGGGCATGATGGATGTAGACCGAAACAATCAGAGTAAACTTTATGAAGGAGGAGGCAGGAAAAAAGGACATGAGAAAAGGATGGGCCAGATAGAGAAGACAAGATAGACATTTTGAGTGTGTGTGTTTGTGTGTCATCAGGAATTCCTTTCTTTCTTATTCAGCCCTTTAGATATCTGCCCACCCTTCCAGGTACTTGCCCATACCTATCTGACAAAGGAAAGGGATGAGAAAAGGTGTAGGAGGCATTCTTCCTTAGCATTCATTGTCATAGGCATCCTTCCCAACCACCCTGCCAAGCAGATATCATGATCCCCTTTTTTTGGCAGAGGACCGCAGAGCTCAACAGGCAAATCATTTGCCCAAGACTACATGACCCGTATCGGCCAGGTTGGGATTCAAACCTTGGCCTTGGTCTCCTAGTGCTCATCTTCTCTTACCACTGAATCCTGTGCATTCCGGGAAGCAGAGGACGGCAATGCTCCAGGAAGTCCATGCTAGACCGGGATCTAGAAGGAAGAGGAGGAGGAAGAGAAATGGCATGATGACTGCCCTTCTAAGCATGAGCATGCTGAGTGCTGGGGAGGGCAGGGAAGAGCATCTAGCAGATCATTCACCTTTTTAGAGCCGGCCACCACTGCATTCCCTTGGAGCATTTCCTGGGGCTGACATCTCAGCTCTGACTTTTCATCATGATCGCTGCTCCTTGTGGTAAAGCGCCAGTCGTCCTGAAGACACAAGGGCCCCTGCAGCAGCTAGAGTCCCCACCGGGGGCCTTGTCCTTTGTCCAGTGCAAGGCCAGCTTAGCGAGATTTGGTGCTCAGAGAAGCTCCGTGTCTCAACGATGCCCTCTTCTATGAGGCATGGAGGAAAAAACTCACTGAACCAGAAAATACATATCGTCTCAGCACTTAAATGGGTCCTGTTTTAAGCCGGGATCAGTGTAATTAAAATTATAAGAAAATAAGACCAAAGGATACCCCCCACCGTCCTTAATTAGGAGCTAGATGAGAAGGAAGAAACTCTGGTGTAACTTATTTAAAAGGCATAGTCCTGAAGTGGGACCAAGAAAGAGAATAATTAAAGTGAAGGTATCATTATTGTTTTTTTAAAGGGTCTCTGTGGACAGAGGGATCTAATTGGCAGACAAGACACATGAGGAGCATCGGCTCGTTCTCAGAGTGGCTGCTCTGAAGGCAAAATGCAGGAAGCTCTGGCCCCTGGGAGCTCTTTGCTACTTCCCGAGTCTTTCCAAACAGATGGGAGAACAGGACAAATTCCAGGGGCCGGGATCCTGGGTACACCGACATCAATCACGAGAAATGGTTAAATCTTTTAAACTCCCTTGGCTTGCAGGAGGTGGAGTGACCACGCTGTACTGTCATCACCATTATGGCTGCTTGTTAGTAACATTTATCCAGTACCAACATTGTACTTAGCACAGCACAGAGCAGAAAGGAAGACACAGCTCCGGCTTTGAAAATAAACATCTAGGCTCCCCTACTGGATTTCTGCCCCAGCAGGGGAACCAGGATTCAGCAATTCTGGAACACTCCATCCTGCACTCCCCTGATACTGTTTCTTCATTTCCCTTGAGCAATTTCAGATCTTCTGGAATCTGCCCAGTGTTCTGAAGCCCCGTCTGGGTTGCTTGGCCCTTAACCAGCCTCTTTGGCCAAAGTCAGGGCTCAAAGAACAGGGCTGAAGGTGGAAGCAGGCATGGGCAGGCAGATCTGAGAGGGAGCTAACGCAGGCAGGGAATGCGGAGGAAAGAAAGCACAGTGTTTTCTCATGACTGGCATGAGAGTCAAATTAAATACTTCACCTCACGTCACCCCCCTGCTGTTCCAGGGGCCTTGAGCCTCTTACCACTTCATTCTGCAATCTTGCATTTTATAAATCCACGCATACACTTTAAAAATCAAGACCCACACCATAGCAAATGTTATCCGTATGAGTCTTTGGAACACGAAAGCCTTGACAAGTGTCCATGGCCATCTAAGAAATGTATAAATATTATCTATACACATTAGTTCCTCAAGCAAAGTCCCACTTCCCACTGCCAAATGTTATTTTTTATAGTAGCTCTGTAAGATGAGTAAAGGCATATATTTTACCAGTAAGTCACTTTTTATAGCATGGGGAAGAGAAAAAAAAAAAGCCCCAAACACTTTCACTGCTTTTTAGCCAACAGGATATCTGAATGCAAATGAATGAATCACCTTTGCAATGATTGGCCGCCTGAGTTTCCTTGTCACACACAGAGCAGGCTCAGTGGATGTGACTTGTATCCTCATGAGTCCGGGGGAAAAAGACTGGCACCACCACCAGTGAATTACGAGATTTGTCTTTATCAGTGAAAATAAGGTCATAACTGAGCCCAGCTACTGCCTATTATATGTGTGTTCCATCTACTTTCCTGTATAATGTGAGCCAGTGCGCCGGGGTGAGCTGGAGTAGCCCAGTGTATAAATTAGCCATTTGAAAAAGCTGCATTAAGTCTTTCAGGCCACCAGGGTACCCTTTAATGCATTGATGCCACTCTTCAATAAATGCTGGTCTTCTTTACTTCTGACCTACATTTCGATGACAATCTGATGGAAAAGGTACTGGAAGGACTCCTAAGTGTATCTGAAACCAGAGAGAAAAAAATAGTATGTTGAACCACAAGTGGATCCCAGGTGAGAGCTAACCAGTTGTGGAACTGAGTGTCCGGTGGCTCTTTCTAAAGAGAACAACACATGCATTCATGCAGCATCTGTTTACAGAGCAATTTCTCTGGGCGAAGCACCGGGTAGACCTCTGAAGTCCTGGGTCTTCCAAAAGCCGAGGAGAGGAGGTGTATTTGACGTGATGGAAGTTCTTTAGGAGAAGGACAAAGGAAATCATGAGTATTTTCTAAAACCCTGTTTTAGAAACTTGTTTCAGAGTCTAAGACAAGCTGATACTAAATCCTATGAAGAGTGATGTTTTTGATGGGAAGGATCGGAGGAAATAAAAGAAAAAACTTCCTGGAAATGGTACCTCCTTCACCTAGTCTTTGGCCTGGAACTTGCACACTGGTCTCCTTGTAGCTGCTTCTCGAAAACAAGTGCGCTGACTAAACGTTGCCACAACACAGTAGGCCGGGTCCACTTGGCAAATTCTTCTCTTCCAGGACAGAAGCAAAGGTTGGGCAGCCTGGCAGCAGGCAAAGGGCTGGGAGGGTTATCAAGATAAAACAGACACCAGTCTCTAATCCTCAAAACCTCACAACTTATTTCCTGAATACACAATTATTGAGCACCTACTATATCTACCTGCTCTATTTGGCAAGTCCTACTTTTCAGATACAACCAAATTCATGGGGCAAAAGAACTGAGAGCTTACATTCCTGCATATGCTTTAAACATCAGATCCAGACCACCTTAAAATTCTTTCCACATGGGTCTTTGGATCATGAAGGCACTGACAAGTGTCGACGGCCGTCTAATACAGAGAACCCACTTGTTCATTCATTCAACGCATTTTTCAGTGAAAACCTAATAAGTGCCAGACATTGTTCTAAGCCTTGGAGAACAGTGAACAAAACAAAGTTCCTGTCCCATCAGTGAGAGACAGCCAATAAACAAACACATACATGATGCATACATATTTTTATACATATCCATTTATTTTTTTAAAGATTTATTTATTTATTTGAGAGAGGTGAGGAGGGGCAGAGGGAGAGAGAGAGAGAGAGTCTTAAGCAGACTCCACGCTGAGTACAGAGCCCGACATAGGGCTCAACGTCACAAACCTGAGATCATGACCTGAGCCAAAACCAAGAGTTGGATGCTTAACCCACTGCACCACCCAGGCACCCTACATATATCCATTTATAATGAGATGACTAGAATAGAGTGGATTCTGGATCCCAACTGCCTTGGTTCAATCCCATCTTTGTCAATTACTAGCTGTAGCAACTTAGGGAAGTTATTTAACATCTGGTGTCTCAGTTCTCTCATCTGTAAAGTGGAGACAATAAAAGTAATAATAATAATAATTTCTAATTCACAAGGTTGCTGTTAAGATCAGTATATCAATATATGCAAAGTGTTCAGAACAGTACAAGGCATGTAGTTAGCATTATATGTGTGTGCCAATAATATAAATTCCCTACTTATCAGATAGGGATAAAATGATGAATTAAAAATAAAGATATAGGGCGCTTGGGTGGCTCAGTTGATTAAGCGTCTGCCTTCAGCTCAGGTCATGATCCCAGAGTCCTGGGATCGAGTCCTGCATCGGGCTCCCTGCTCAGCAGGAGAGTCTGCTTCTCCCTCTGTTCCTTCTCTCTTGCTCGCTCACTCTCTCTCTCTCTCAAATAAATAAATACAATCTTAAAAAATAATAAAATTAAGGGGCACCTGGGTGGCTCAGATGGTTAAGCGTCTGCCTTCAGCTCAGGTCATGATCCCAGAGTCCTGGGATCGAGCCCGGCATCGGGCTCCCTCTACTCCCTCTACCTCTACTTCTCCCTCTACTGTTGCTTGTGCTCTCTCACTCTCTCTGTCAAATAAATAAAATCTTAAAATAATAATAATAATAATAAAATTAAAATAAATAAATACATAACAATAAAGATATAGAGATGATGGGGGGCTATTTTAAATTGGGTGGTCCGAGAAGGCTTCCCTAAAGGAGGGGACATTTCAACTGAGACCTGAATGAGGCAAGGGCGTGAGCCATGTCAGTAACCAGGGAAGGGCACCGTAAGCAGAGAGTGGCAAGCACTAACTCCCTGCTCTGGGACCGTGCTCGGGGTGACAAGGAGCAGCAAGGCACTGAAAATGGTCAAAGCAGAGGGAGGGAAAAGGATGACAGGACATGAGGCTGGTAAGGCAGCCATGGGCTGGTTCTATCAGGCCCCAGAGGCCACAGTAGAGTCTTGGATATTATTCTAAGAGCAACGAGAAGTCAACAGAGGGTATTGAGCAAGGGAGTGACAACATATATATTTTAAAATCTTCTGTGTCTGATGGTGCCTCAAAAAATTTCAAAACAGAGCTAGCAAATGATCCAGCAATTCCACTTCTGGGTGTATATTGAAAAGAATTGAATGCAGGGGCTTGAAGAGCAATTCGTACACCCATGTTCGAAGCAGCGCTATTCACAATAGCTAAAAGGTGGAAGCAACCAAAGGAAGGAAATCCTGACACATCGCCACACTGAGGACGCCCGACTACATGAAACAAGCCAGCCACAAAAGAAAACACTGCATGATTCCACTTACATGAGGTATCTGAAAGAGTCCGATTTATAGAAACAGAAAGTGGAATGATGGGATGCCTGGGTGGCTCAGTCGGTTAAGCATCTGCCTTCTGCTCAGGTCATGATCCCAGCGTCCTGGGATTGAGCCCCACGATGGGCTTCCTGCTCAGCCAGGAGCCTGCTTCTCCCTCTCCCCACTCCCCCCTGCCTTTGCTCATACTATCTCTTGCTATCTCTCTCTCTCTCTAATAAATAACTAAAATCTTCTTAAAAAAACACACAAAAAAACAGAAAGTGGAACGGTGGTTGCCAAGGGAGGGGGAATAGAGTTATTGTTTAATGGATATAGAGTCTGGTTTTGCAAGATGAAAGCAGTTCTGGAAATAGGTTACACAACAATATCAAGGTACTTAACTAGAACTGTATACTTAAAAATGGTTAGGAAGGTGAATTTGGTTTTTTTTGTTTTGTTTTGTTTTTTTTAAAGATTTTATTTATTTATTTATTTGAGAGAGAGAGAATGAGAGACAGAGAGCATGAGAGGGAGGAGGGTCAGAGGGAGAAGCAGACTCCCTGTTGAGCAGGGAGCCCGATGCGGGACTCGATCCCGGGACTCCAGGATCATGACCTGAGCCGAAGGCAGTCGCTTAACCAACTGAGCCACCCAGGTGCCCCGTGAATTTGTTTTTTAAGTAGACTCCACGCCCAGTGTGGACCCCAATGTGGGGCTTGAACTCACCACCCTGAGATCATGACCTGAGCCGAGATCAAGAGTCAGAAACTTCACTGACACCCAGGTGCCCCTAGGATGGTGAATTTTATGGTATGTGTATTTTACCACAATTTTAGAAGAAATCTTCTGTGTAGCAAATAAACTGGTGGCAAGAAGGAGTGCAAGCAGGGAGACCCCCTTAGATGTTCAGTTATCTGCCTCATAATAAACCAAGCCCAAACTTAGTACCATAGAACAACAACCGTGTTACCGTCTCTCATGGTTCTGTCGGTCAGTTGGGTTCAGCCGACTGGCTCTTCCGCTCCCAGTAAAATTACCTGGGCTGCTGTCATAGGAGGGTACAACCACCTGACATGTCCATGACACTCACTCATATTTCTGGCACCTTTGTGGAGGACAGTGAAAAGGCTGGGCTCAGCTGGGACACTGACTGCGGGCCTTTCTCCCACTCCGTGCAGTCTCAGGGCCTCTCCCGTTCTTCATGTGACCTCTTCACGGGGCCTCATCACTGAGTCTCTCCAGCAGAGTAGCTGGATTTCGCACAGGTGGCTCAGGGCTCTCAGAAGTACAGAAGCCTTCTTGAGGCTTAGGCCAGAAATGCACTGAATCACTTGTCCCACATTCTGTTGATTAAAATGAGTCACAAGCCAGCCAGGATTCCATGTTACAGATCCAGATGGGCGTGACTCCCAGGAGGCCTGGTTCACTGGGGACCATCTTTGTAGACTCACTAGGTGGTTGCAGCAAATCAGGTGCAAAAAAAACAAAGGCTTAGCTCAGGACAATAGCAGGGGAGGTGGTGAGAAATGGTTGACTTGGGCCATATTTCTAAGGTAGAATCAGTAAGATGTGCTGATGGCTCAGATACGGGCTAAAAGGAAAGAAGGTATGAAGGATGAGTCTAAGTTTTCGGCCAAGGCCACTGAATGAGTGATGATGTCATTAATCAGCCAGCAAAGTATCACCAAGAGCAGTGGGCTTGGAGACTTGGGGTTGCATCCTGCCTCTTTTCTTTTTTAAAAAAATTTTTTTAGAGATTTTATTTATTTATTTGTCAGAGAGAGAGAGTGAGAGAGTAGCAGGCAGAGGGAGAAGCAGGCTCCCCATTGAGCAAGGAACCAGATGCAGGACTTGATCCCAGGACCCTGGGATCATGACCTGAGCCAAAGGCAGATGCTTAACCCACTGAGCCACCCAGGCGTCCCTCTGCCTCTTTTGTTTATCACATCTTACCTTGGGCATTCACCCTCTCTGAGCTTCTACTTTCTGATCTGGAAGATGAGGATCCTAATACCTGTTCACCCTTTAAGATCATCTTAGGGTCAAATGAAATCTTGTATGGAAGACCAATCACCTTGAGTTTGTTACAAATGCAGTGGCCACGGGAAGACCACACACCCTGAAATCAGGAAATCTAGTTTCAGCCCCAGGTCCATCTTAGACTGGCTGTAAGAACTTGGGCAAGTCATTGAACCTCACTCGGTCTGTTTCCTTATACAATCAGGCCATAGGACCTGCACTGCCTGTGCCAAAAGCATTTGTACGAGAATCAGCACAAAAACATGTAAAGCCTTTTTGAAAAGGCATAAAATGGCAAACGGAAGGTATTATTATCACATCACTAATTACAGATCCAATATCTAGGCTTAGGGTAAAAAAAACAAAAACAACAATGAAAGTAGGGTGGAGTCCACAAAATCCACCCTTTCTCAGGGGACCCAGGGGCTCCAGACTTGGCTTAAGGAGCAGCCAGGGAAGAATACCATTCAGAGCTGCTATAAAAACACAACCCATAATTGCAAGTCAATCATACACAGGGCATGAGAGTCGGTGAGTTAGTCATCATAATGGAATACAGATAACAAGCTTATATTTGTAGCACTTTGACTCTGAGGGAAACTGCTTTGTTATTCTTTCTTAATAGCCTGGAAAACTAAGGGGTGAAAGCAGCAGGTCCCATCATGGAAGCGAAGAAACAACAGGAGCTGAAGGAAGAAAGACCCTAATACACATCTCTCTTCCAAGGCAAGTGTGTGACATCTGGAACCCAAGGCTAGGATGGGAGGACAGGTACTCCCACGTCCCCAGGGGCCACAGAAAGCCTTTGGGTTTGAAGGTCTCCTCTGAAAGACACCCACACACTAAATAGCCTGGTATTCAATTCATTCTCTGCAGAAGAATAAAAGATTGGGTCTATGCAGCAAGCATATGAACCCAGGCTCTGGGGGAGTCAGTTGCAGACGGTTTAAACACCGAACCAGCCCCTTCGGGCAGGAGAGCCCACATATACTAAAGGACATGGAAAGCAGTCATCGCCTTTTAAAAGGAGTGTTTCTGTTTTCATTATCATTTAAGGCTGCAGTCGGTGTTGAACAATAATAAGAAACTGGCACGGGGAAAAAAATGTGCCCAAATCACAGGCGTACGCAATAAAAATGCTATTATAGACTTTTGTGAATATAAATAGTTTTTAAAATGAGGCTGCTAAGACTGGCATCTTAGATGCTACCTGAAAAAGAGTCATGTTTATATATTCCAACAGTTGCGCCGGTCACCAGTCTTGGCTTTCTGCCACAAAATGGGCTGGGTAATTCTTCTGGAATGAATATCAATATAGACTGGTTGTGGGGCAAAGAGGGGAGACGCAGATCGAAGTGAAGGGAGCACAAAGG